AAAAAAAAAAAAAAAAACGGCAAAAAAAGTTGTAGATATCTGAACATAGACTGATTTTTTTTATTTTAAATAATGTTTTTTTCCTAGCTGTTTATGAAATTCTCTCTTTATATTTAAAATTAAATACCTTTCCTAGAATATGTCTTGATGTTGACTGATTTTTGTTGATTTTCTCAGACACATGATATATATGTTCAGTTCATTTATTTTAGAAAGTTTTCTTGAGTATAAAATCAAATATTTGTCTTTTCCAGTGTTTGAGGTTTCTTTGCCAAGTACCATTACGTAAATGTTGAATCTTTTTTACTTTACATTTTACCTATCACTTTCCTTTCTTCTTTTTAACATTTTTTAAAATTTCATCTTAATGTCTGGGGTTTTTTTCTATTTCTTTTTCAAGTAAAACATTTCTCGTGCCAGCTCACAGGTGATCTCCTATTTTGTGTGATTGCTCTCCGATTCTTACTCTTTTTTCCTTGAGTTTCTGTATTTCTGCTTTATTTTTCTTACTAAAGGTAATGTCTCTGTAAGCTTTTATAATTTAAGTCAAAATATTTCGTTAGGATTTTTATCTGTTTCATGACAGTTTTCCATTAAGTTTCTTACCTTTCTGTTAACTCAGTGTAGAGCAGGTGGGATCATCTGTGGGAAGTTCCTCAGGACACGTGTGCTGGGAGGTTGCTCGCGCCCAGAAGTTCACATCTGGCCTGGGCAACATACCAAACCCCATCCCTCTCTTTAAAAGAATAGTACTAATAATATAAGATTAGTATCAGGTAGTGCCTCTAAAAAAGAATAGGTAGTTTTAAACTGTCAGAGTGCTCCCCTCACCATCTGAGTGCTCCCCTAGCCGTCAGGGTGCTCCCCTTGGGAAATTAGCACATAGGCCAGTGCCTAGTTCGCTCTTCAAAGCAGTTTTGGAAATCTTTTTCTGGCCATTAGAACTGTCATTATACAAGATCTGACATTAAAGTTCTCAAACTGGTCCTAGGGAAAGTGCTTTGAAGGGTGGACGAGGCCTTGGCTTCAGTGCCTCACTTCACAGGGGAGCACCTCAGAGGTCACCACGGTGACATTCACCCGTGACTTATGTAGCACTTTTTCTAGGACCAGGTAATATTGTCTGACCTCCTGAACTTCTTAATAGATAAATGTAAAGGCCTAGGCACAACTTTTTTTTTTTTTTTTTGGCTACAGGATCTCTCACTTTATGTATCCCAGGCTAGACTGTGACGTAATCATAGCTCACCGCAGCCCTGAGCTCCTGGGCTCAAGCGATCCTCCTTCCCCAGACTCCTGAGTATAGACACATGCCAGCAGGCCTGGCTAATTTTCCTTCTTCCTCTTTTTTTTCTTTCAGAGTCAAGGTCTCCCTGTGTTGCCCAGGCATGTCTTGAACTCCTGGCCTCGAGCATTGATGCCCCCTCAGCCTCCCAAGTCTCTGGGATTATAGGCCACCCAGCTCTGATAATGTCTCATGCAATTCTAACATGTGACTTTTTTTTTTTTTGCAGTTTTTGGCTGGGGCTGGGTTTGAACCTGCCACCTCTAGTATATTGGGCCGGCACTCTGCTCCTTGAGCCACAGGCACCGCCCCACGTGACTTTTTAAATACTTTTTTGAGCCCTATTATTCACAGTAAAATTCTAGGTTTTATGTTCTTTCTAAAACAAAATTTCAATATGAATATCTCGTTACTTTCCTGAAAAAAGTTTTGCTCAGAATGGTATTTTGTCACTAAATACTGTTTTAGCAAGGAAAGAAAGCAGACTTTCTCCTTTAAGCTTTCCTGTGTTAAATAGTGGCCTGACAATTTCTCTGTTGCAGAACTTCGCCAGAGTTAAAATGCAGGTAACAATGTCACTGTCATCCTTGGTGGGCACATCTCAAAATTTTAACGAGGAATTCTTGAGGCGTTCTCTGAAGACGATATTGACGTACGCTGAGGAAGATCTGGAACTGAGGGAAACGACATTTCCTGATCAGGTCAGAAATGCTGCTTTCCTGTTCATTGGAATAGGCTTATTAAACGGGCACTTTCCAGATTGTTAAATCAAACGTTGATTTTGCAGAAGGATCCTTTATTTCTCTTTAGTCAACATATCATTGCCATGGATAGGACTGCATCTTTGTGTTTTATTAAGCTTCCCTTCTTTTTTAGAATAGTTAATATCATTGATGTTTAATTCTGTACATTGGTAACAAGTAGGACAGTGGACTTAGTCAATATAGACAGTTTGATGGTGACACATTATTCCCTCTTATTAAGCAAACAGTAATTTGCTTTTAAAAACTAGTGTTTGGGCTCTGCGCCTGTGGCTCAAGCAGCTAAGGCACCAGCTGCGTACATCTGAGCTGGCGGGTTCGAATCCAGCCCATGCCCACCAACAACAATGTCGGCTGCAACCAAAAAGTAGCCGGGCGTTGCAGCAGGCACCTGTAGTTCCAGCTACTTGGGAGGCAGAGGCAGGAGAATCACTTGAGCCCGGGAGTTGGAGGTTGCTGTGAGCGTGATGCCATGGCAACTCTACCCAGGGCGACAGCTTGAGGTTCTGTCTCAAAAAATAAATAAATAAATAAATAAATAAAAACTAGTGTTTGCAAATAACTTTCAGTAAAATCAGAAACATAGGAAATTTCCTTTTGTTCTCTTATATTTCCCATATCCCTGTGTTTTATTCCTGCTAATAGTGCTGCTAGTTTCCAGGCATAAAGGCTCAGGCTGCTGAGTTTCTATGAGGCTTACCACCCTCACTCAGCACGCCGGCACTCATACCCTCTGCAGAACTACATCAGTATTGTATAATTTGTTGAAATCTTCAGATGTTTATCTGAAATATCTCCCAAATTGATTTAGTGATTGTGAATGAAGGACAGTTCAAGAATGTTTTTTGTATCATTCTCTGCTGCAGGTCCAAGATCTGGTTTTCAATCTCCATATGATCCTTTCTGATACTGTGAAGATGAAGGAGCACCAGGAGGACCCTGAGATGCTGATTGATCTAATGTACAGGTAGCATTCGTTTGACAAACTTATACTTTATTCAGTGGGCTTAGTAAAATAGGGAGAACATTAGCTGAAAAAATTAAACATACAAAAATTTAAGTGATTTCTGTCATGGTTCTGAAAGCCAAAATGCACTTTTTTTTTTTTTTTGAGACACCCTGGGTAGAGTGCCGTGGTGTCACAGCTCACAGCAACCTCAAAGTCCCAGGTTCAAGCCATCCCCCTGCCTCAGCCTCCTGAGTAGCTAGGACTACAGGCGCCCACCACGCCTGGCTAGATTTTCTATTTTTTAGAAGAGAGAGGATCTTGCATCTGCTCAGGTTGGTCTCGAACTCCTGAGCTCCAGCCATCCACCCACCTTGGCCTCTCAGAGTGCTGGGATTACAGACAAGATCCTCTGTACCCAGCCTTGTTCATCTTGAAATCTGGGCTCAAGGGAGCCTCCTACCTTGGCCTCCCAGAGTGCTAGGATTATAAGTGTGAATCACCACGCTGGCCCCAAGACCTGTATTCTAAATGTAAGAATCAGTCTATTTTACTACAACATCAATTGCCTGACTTTTAATATTGGCATGACTGAAGGACAGTATGTATAGAGAACATTTTGAACAATCTGTTACTCCTTTTATACCTTAATTGAGATAAGAGTAAAACTTAAGAATTTTCCTTTTCCATATAACCCTTCCTTTTTATAATTTTGGAGGTGATTAAAGGTACAAATAAAAAAAAAATTCTGTTCTCTTTAAAGTAATACAATGAAACCACCCTTTCTAGGTCTTCTTTTTTTCCTTGAGTATAAAACTTCTGTAATGAGCACATAAATTCCCGTACTTTTCCCCTCACTGATTGTTTCCTTAGTTGCCAGATTTTAATATGGCAGGTCTGTCTTTGCTCCTGCCTCCCAGCTAAAGGAATGGACAATCCTTCAGGTCACATCTGTTTCTGTAAAGATACACATTTTCATACGGCAGAAACCTGCCTAGGAAACTCTGAGCAAGCCATCTAAACTCTCTCCCAGCTTGGGAAGCATATGCTAATTGAGAATTTCTTTCCTAATTAGAATTGCTAAGGGTTACCAGACCTCTCCAGATCTGCGATTGACCTGGTTGCAGAACATGGCCGGCAAACACTCGGAAAGGAGCAACCACGCCGAGGCCGCCCAGTGCCTGGTCCACTCCGCAGCGCTTGTGGCTGAGTACTTGAGCATGCTGGAGGACCGGAAGTACCTGCCTGTGGGGTGCGTGACGTTCCAGGTAGGAATCTGCAGAACGTACATCACGTCAGGGCTTGTCCTTTTCTGGTGTCGGCCTAGTCTCGCTAGGGTTTAGATTCTTACGGTTTGTAAGAAAAACTTAATGACCTAAGCCAGAGCTGTACAAGGTGAAATAACATTTCGCTATCATTGTCGTGAATACATTTTTAAAGAATTTTTCTTATCAATTCTCTTGCCACAGTTTCTTAATCTTTGAATTTTCAGTGCTATGTGTATTTATTCTTTTCGTCTTTACTGCTTTGTAATCAGTTATAGATTTTAGCATCTGTGAAAATATGCTCAAAATATGGAGACTCAGAATTCAGTAGAAACTCCTACTTGGTTTGTACCTAACACACCAGGTAGACCAGCACTCTCCGTTTCCCGGCTAAAGTGTAACATGGTGCAAACCTCTGACTCAGGAGCTGAATTCTTTGCCTACCAAGAGTTAGTTATGCTTTGTTTTTCTCCAAAACCTATTATCAGAATTGAGATATGAGAAATATTATGTCTTCTGATGATATTAGAATATAGAAAGAAGATTATTGTTTCTCTGTAAACTAAGCTGAATGTGTTGCAAAGACTGAATAAAGATGAGTCTGCCAAACGATTGCTGTTGAATTAATTTTGGACCAGACAAATAAATGGCTGGGGGGGAAGCTCCTAAGCTTCTAGGGTAATTTGACAGTCTTTTAAGTTCAAATTTTTGTTCTATTTTATTTATTTGTTTATTTGCAGTTTTTGGCCAGGGCTGGGTTTAACTCACCACCTCCAGTATATGGGGCCACCGCCCTACTCCTTTGACCCACAGGCACTGCCCTTTTTATTCTACTTTAAAGAAACCAAAACTGAAAGTCTTAAAAGAAGGTTGTATTATGGGTATTTTCTCAAAAGAGATTATATAGAACTCTGATCTGGAGACCCATAGAAAAAGAAAAGGCCTTAGGCCACCAGTTCTCCACCTGTGGGTCACGACCCACAGGAACTGTATTAACGGGTGCGGCACTAGAAAGTTGAGAAGCACTGCCTTAGACCTACTTCAGAAAAGTTGATAAATGGGCTAGGTGCCTGTCGCTCAAGCGGCTAGGACGCCGGCCACATACACCAGGGCTGGCGAGTTTGAACCCGGCCAGGCCTGCCAAACAGCAATGACAACTACAACCAAAAAATAGCCTGGTGTTGTGGCTGGTGCGTGTAGTCCCAGCTCCTGGGAGGCTGAGGCAAGAGAATCGCCTAAGCCAAAGAGTTTGAGGCTGTGACACCACGGCACTCTACCCAGGGTGACATAGTGAGACTCTGTCAAAAAAAAAGTTGATAAATGAGTGTACATCTACTATAAATGTTTAGGTTAAACATTTATAAAATAAGTATGTATATATCATTTCTTTTTTATAAATAATGGCTGATTCCAACCTCATTGGGTAAGAGAGCTTTTACTGTATCTGAGTTTTTTCACTAACTGAATGTGTATTAGATAAGCCAAGAGACCATTTTTTGTACTTTACTTTCTCTTACAGATATTTTTGAGAAGATCAATTAAATAAAAAAGAAAGACGATTTAAGTCTCCTTATATATCTTATGTCACATCACTATTTTCTTTAGCCCATGGTTTTTCTTAATTCTCTTTTTTATAACTTTTTATTAAGGGAAATTTATCTAGCAATAGTGTTTTCATTTTATTGTAATCTTTAAAATACAGATTTTTGGAGATTTATCTTTTACCTTTCTGTCAACTCTCCTTTTTTTAAACCCAAGCTGACAGTTATAGTTCATCTTCAGTTATTTCTTCTTGAACGTTTTTCATGCTAGGAAATTAATTCATTCTTTTTCTTTTTTTTTTTTTTTTGAGACAGAGCCTCAAGCTATCCCCCTGGGTAGAGTGCTGTGGTGTCACAGCTCACAGCAACCTCCAACTCCTGGGCTTAAGCGATTCTCTTGCCTCAGCCTCCCGAGTAGCTGGGACCACAGGTGCCTGCCACAACACCTGGCTATTTTTTGGTTGCAATTGTCGTTGTATGGCAGGTCCAGGCTGGATTCGAACCTGCCAGCTCTGGTATATGTGGCTCTTGCCTTAGCCACTTGAGCCACAAGCACCAAGCTGGAAATTAATTCACTTTACCAACCTTTTCGATGTTTTTCCCCCTAGAATATTTCATCTAATGTTCTAGAAGAATCAGCGGTCTCAGACGACGTGGTATCTCCAGATGAAGAAGGCATCTGCTCTGGAAAGTACTTCACGGAGTCGGGACTCGTGGGGTTACTGGAGCAAGCGGCTGCTTCCTTCTCCATGGTGGGTGATCCTTCCCATTCTCTCCCCACAGTTCTGAGTTATCACTGACATGTATGTTTATTCTGTCTGCCTTATGACTCTACTTTACTTTTAAGGTAGTTTCTTTTTCTAAGTTCCTTAAAAACTACCTAGGAACAGATTTTCTTTCTAGATTCATCATTCTTTTTCTTGAGACAGCCTCCAGCTATCACCCTGGGTAGAGTGCTGTGGCATCACAGCTCCCAGCAACCTCCAGCTCCTGGGCTCAAGTGATTCTCCTGCCTCAGCCTCCCAAGTAGCTGGGGCTACAGGCACCCACCACAATGCCCGGCTGTATTTTTTTTTTTTTACATATACATGTGTTTGTTGGGTTTCCACTTTTTGCCTTCACAAAATAAAAAAGGCTTAAAATTTAACAACAATGGCTCGGCGCCTATGGCTCAAGTGGCTGAGGCACCTGCCATGTACACCTAAGGTGGCGGGTTTGAATCCCCAGCCCGGGCCCACCAAACAACAATGACAGCTGCAACCAAAAAATAGCCGGGCGTTGCAGGCACCTGTGGTCCCAGCTACTTGGGAGGCTGAGGCAGGAGACTCGCTTGAGCCCAGGAGTTGGAGGTTACTGTGAGCTGTGATGCCACGGCACTCTACCCAGGGGGACAGCTTGAGGCTCTGTCTCAAAAAAAAAAAAAAAAATTAATTAAAAATAAATAAATAAATAAAAATTTAACAACAATAACAATGTTTAAAATATGGAGAGAAACAAAAACCCTATGGAGAATGAATGAAGATAAATACATTCAGAAAATAAAACACAAAACTTTGTGAATACAGTCACAAAACTTTTACCACCACACATTTTCTGAAAGTTTTAAATTAAAAAACAAAACAGGATCTCTGGTGCTTTAAGTTCTTGGTTGGGTGGATTAACACGGCTCTGTAAATAGAGTTTGTCTATTGGAAAACAAGAGAGGTGTTTTTCTTTGCACCTGGCGCTGGTGTCCAGGAAAGTTGCGACTGCTCACCTGTTAGTTGCATAGTGATCCTTACTGAGTAGGAATGGGAGGCCTGGAACTTACTTTGGGGAGCTTTATAAACTACATCCTGAATCCTGCCTGCCTGCCTGCCATGCTGTATAACCCAGTTATTGTTCCCTCCATCTATATGCAAAGAATCGAAGCAGTCAGGTAGAACCCAGATGGGATGTTTACTGGAGAAAGGAAGAATAGCTGAGTCCCTGCTTACCTTCCTGAACCCTGGTCACCTACTTTCTCTGATTTTCTGGTGGGTGCATAGTTTCCCA